ACATGGATGAAACATGGGTAAACGAAGGTCATACTGTATCAAAAGTTTGGCAGGATGGTAATGTTAAGAGTAAGAGACAAGCATTTTTAGATGGATTTTCTACTGGATTAAAGGCACCTTCTGGAAAAGGACGAAGATTGATTATAACACATATTGGAAGCGATACGGGATTTTTAGAAAATGGTTTGCATGTATTTGAGTCACGAAAAACGGGAGATTATCATGAAGATATGAACAGCGACGTGTTTGAAAAATGGTTTGAATATGTTTTATCATATCTGGAGCCAGGAGCAGTTGTTGTGATGGATAACGCACCTTATCATAGTAGAAGAGTTGAAATGTTACCGACATCAGCATGGAGAAAAGGAAATATTATGGACTGGTTACAATCGAAAAATATTGAATATACAGAAACCATGCTAAAAGTACAATTATTAAAAATTGTCCAAAGAGAAAAAGGTCAATACATTAAGTATGTAGTGGATGAGATGAGATGGAGGAAATATATAATGTGAATAATGTGATATGTAAGTATTTAAATATATTAATAGTGAAGTGATTATGTGGCAGTGAAGTGAAAGTGTGACAGTGATAATATTTGTGAGATAATTATTATAAAATATGTATAAGTACCTAATTAAATAAATATATTAATAGTAAACATTACAATATTTTGCGGCGGCGTAATGAATCATGATTATTATTGTAAAAATCGAAAAAATCGCCAAAAATGTGGTTAAAAAACATTACTTTTTAGGGTCTTTAAATTGGGTATAGGACCTTCATACTTGGGTCAAGAAAACTTCATGTTATGTAGAATCATCACACCAAATTTCACCAAAATCAGTTCGATAGATAATGCATAATAATTTTACAATCCAAATTTTGGAAAAAAATTTGCAAATTTTCAAAATTTTGCACAGCAAAAACCAAGGCCCTTAGATACTTGAAAATTTAATCACATATAGAAGGGTTCTCAAGCTTTCAAACGCTTTCTGAAAAATTCGAATCCGTCAATTAGGAGAGCTCTGGCGCTTGTTTAAACATTGGTCGAATTTTTGTACTTACAATTAGAATAACTTTGTCAATATTCAACCAAATCAAATTTTTTAAAGCAGGTTTTAAAAGTTATTGGAAAGACGCTTCTTTAAAAACAAAAACAGATCGGTTGGTTCAAAATTTCACAGAAATCAATGACGAAATCGATTTAATCGAAGAAGTAGAAGTTGAAGCAGAAGTAGAATGCGAGAATGAGGTCTTAGACAAGGCGGAAATTAATAAGTATTTTGAGTTTGTAGATGAAGAAATTGATGAATTTAATTTCGAAGAAGAAAACGAAATCCCATGTAAAAATGTTCAATTAAACTCTTAATATGTATTTTTATACATATAAATAAATAATATACATTAATAAAATAACAAACATTTTTATACATTTTTTAAATTCTGATTTATTAATGCAATTAAGTGTGAATAAAATATTATCGATTTTTTATAATTAATTTATTAATTTAATCATCATTTCTTTTGTGATTAAAGTATAATTCAAATACTATTTATTGTATAAAATATAAGCAAATGAGAAATTAACTCATTATATTACTAATTTTCGATATATTTTGAGAATAATTGTTGTTTAAACAATTTTAGAATATTTAAATAAATTTGTTTTTGATCTTTGATAAACAGTATATAAGTTTATGCACTTTGATACAATAAAAAATAAAGTTGATAATTAATGGAAGTTTAAAGATAAATAATTATCGGACTGTTGAAAGGCCAATAATTCGCCGATTCAATTTCGAGCAGGCCGAAGCGGCCGCGCTCTCTGCTTCCCCCTAA